CTTACATCTACTAACCCGTAACAGCCCCCGTTTGACACACATTCTTTCAAACTACATTTTTTCAAAATTCATTTCCAACTACCCATTTTTTAATAAAATAATATTTTTCATCACATTAATAATTTTTTCTTACTTTTTAACCACATATTTCTTATTATATCATTATTTAAAATACATTCTTTAATCAATAATATACATCAAACAGGGACTTAATACATAAATATATATATACAAACACATAATCATGACCACCAATTTCTTTTAAATTCTTAATTAACTTTATTAATTTTTAATTAAAGATGACTTATTTTTACTACAATATTTTGAGTCTTACGAGATTAATTCTTAGCCCTTCAATATTTAATTATTTGATCCAGATAAAAATTGTATTAAGCACTTATTTTGTCCTTCGTCCCATAATGATTTAAGATTATCAAAAAATACCTAGGTCAAAATTCTTATCATTAGACAATCTTATTCTATAAAATTTCGAGAGGATACATTTGTTATGTAATTCTTTCTTATAATCATGCACATAGAATCCTGCACATTGAATATATAAATTGCCTAAACATTTGTGTTTTCTTTTTTCTTCTTTTTCTTCTTTATGTGCGGAAATTTGTTCCCTTTTTGATAAACTTTGAGGTAGCAAAATGGACATGAAAATAGTAGATGCTATAGTGCCAAATGCCAATGCTATTCTCTCTCTCCTTCTTGACCGCCTCAGCACTACACAATATTTGTTTTGCATATTTTTGACTTACTATCAGTCAAATTTGTATTAAAAAGGTGGAGTAGTTTGGTTGAAAATGAAGTTAGTCTTGTTCCGATAAAAGTTCAAGTAGCCTACACTACACAATTTTCATTTTGTCTCACCGTCAGATCAGAGTTATGTGGAAAGATCCAAAATAACTAAATCCTCGTGACAAAAAAATGTGTTCAAAAATTCATTTCTTGATTCTTTTTGTGAATTTTTTTTCAGTTCTTTTTGGAAAATTTTTATAAATGACAGACTGATTACATTGGAGATTGAACAAGATAAATCCTTTACTTATTTCAGCTCTCTCTCTTTTTTTTTTTTGCGCGCGTGCCTAAACTAAGAAATCTTGAATCTTGTGCCATTTCTTAAGTTTCATTATTGCACTTGTAGCGAGAATACTAGGCATAAAAAAATTGCCATTACTCCGTAAAAGGAACCAACACAACTTATTAGTTTTAGAATAATTCTACTTGTACATCAAAAAGTTTACATAAGGGTATACACCCCCCTCACATGGAGAGTGGGACGCACTTGTATAAATATTTTTTTATTCATGCGGGTCCCACCCCCATGTGAGGGGGGTGTACACCCCTATGTACATGGTGATGTACCACTAGCAATGACAATGTTTGTATATGATCTTGTTTGATTTCTTGTTGGTAATTTTTATTCCATCTTTGGGTCATGACTAAAGCTTTGTTGCCAGAAATTTTTTAACATCTTAATTGACAGAAGAGGATGCGTGAAAAAAGAATTGGATGTCAAGATTGACTGTTTTTTAAACAATCTAATGAAATTCTATTATGTGGACATTCTGACAACAAAGATATCGCCCAAGATGCTAGTGTAGCATGATTGGTGCGTTATTTTCATTTTTAGCTTTTCATCTACATTTGTCCTTTTAGACATAAACACGTGTAGTGGAAATTGGTGACTTTCTTTCTTTTATTGCATGTTCGATTTACAATGTTAAATTATGAAATTTCATCCTTGAAGGCCCCAACAAGCCCACATTTGAAAGCAAACGACATAAGAACATNTCTTCCAAACAAAATATAATAGCATAGTTGAAAGCAAACGACATAAGAACATTAGACACACGTATGTTACAGAGGCAAACAATTTCTAGTAATGGAAACTGCTCACTCAGTAGTCAGTACATGTTGTAATGCCAATTTTATTTCTCCATTTCGATAAGGTAATTTTAGCATATGGATAACATGTCTTCATGCAACTTTCCAAGTTGACAAAAGAGGAGTGTCGGAATGCTCCCACGTACCCAAACCAGGTCCATATCTATCACCCTTGACCGCATCAGCTGAAGCAATAGATTCGAGCTCAGCCATGTCTTCTTTTGACAGTTTTACAAACAATGCTTCTATGTTTTTATTGAGATTCTCGATTTTCGTGGTGCCGGGTATGGGACACACATCGATTCCTTGATGATGGACCCATGCTAAAGCTAGCTGTGAAGGGGTGCACCCCTTTCTATTAGCCATATCATTGACACTATCAAACAATCTCTTATTATGCTCCAGATTCTCGGGTTGGAATCTTGGAAAATACTGCAAAAGATGCAAATCACATCTTTCAAAGTAGAAACTATAACTGCACCTAGTAAAAAGATGTTGAACATATATACTAGAGTTACTATTGTAGATTGTACCCAAAAAATATATATTTTGGGAGAGGGATTAATTTGGCCTCTAAACATGGTAGAAGTTGACATAACATCATGCATGTGCACAAAACATTAGCAATGGAGTAGTGTTTCGTAAGATACTAGTGAGGGCATAACTTAATTAGTTTCAAAATTTCAAAGACTCTTAGCTATATGTATCATACTTAAATAAACAACGTTGAGGGTGTGCACAACATATGCACAAAATATTCATAGATGAAATTGAAACTCTTAATGAGTTGAAGTATAAAACAAACAAACCTTTCGAGAGTCCCCTTCAGATAAAGTTTCAAGCAGTTTTGGACCGAAGGACAAGAATCCCCGTCCAAGAGGACTATAAGCTACTATTCCAATGCCAAGTTCCCTAAACAATTGAACAACGATAGAGTTGGAAATTAAATTGCTCACATGCTCAAAAAATGAAAAATGATCACAATAATCATCAAACCTGCAAGTGGGAATTATTTCTTTCTCCACGTCTCTTGACCACAAAGACCACTCCAACTGCACTGCTGTTATTGGATGAACTGCATGTGCTCTTTTGATTGTCGAAGTAGAGGCCTCTGATAGGCCTATATATTTTATCTTACCTTCTTCCACTAGTTTCTTTAGTTCTCCGATCTTGCATAAAGAGATATCAAAAGGAATAAGAAGGAACTTAAGTAAGAAACATGTGGAATCAAGTCGAAGTTTTTACTCAGTTGGGGTATCTCCGTGATCATACCGTGTGTTCCTACTGCTTTCATTATTGATTGTATTAACTGCGGTATTTCAACATAGGTTAAATTGACTTGTATGCTTTATTATCTAGAAATAATTAATTGGTGACATATTACTAATCAATTAATATTTTTCAATTCCACATAATATACATTTTCAACCCCCTCTATGTTTTGTTAAGGTCGAATTGCGTAACTTTCATTACTGAACCTAAGTATTTTATCGGAAATAAGATTTAGCATGCTATTGCATTAGACAACAAAGTTTTATGAATTAATAGCTTAGTGTCAGAAATTTTCTGTATAGTAGCAGAAGGAAGGGCATAATTTGGACTTTGGAGTTGGGAACCATATAGATATGTCAGACAAACAAACAATATGAAGAAATCCATATAGGGATACATCAAAAAAGGTGTCTTTATATGCTTTGTAATTATAAGAAATAAACTCCTTTTTATTATCATAATTAATAGATTCATATGATAAAAGATGATTGTTCAAAAGAGAACAAAAATTAAACGAGATTTCTGTAAATTAGATTACCAAATTCTGTTTCAATATTCATCATCAACTAAACAAGCTTGCTACTACTGTGTAGGTAAGGAACAAGGACGACTGTTGACCGTAGCTGATTAATACACAGATAATAAATAAAATGTTAATGTTGCATCATCGAGATCTATCAAATGAAAATACGAAATTATAAGTCATAAGACTGTAGAATATTGTAGCGATATCTTAGGATGCCATATCAATTAACTAGGTTTGCCAGTCACATATCCCTCTTCAGATTAAAGATCATGACGTTGAAGGCTATCATCCCGGCAGAATGACGATTAAATTTGTGTTTTGAAACTCGTTCTACTCTATCTTGATTCTATTGACATTGACTGCAGCTAATACTAAAATTTACAACTTGAGTAGATAATCAATTTTCAAAAGTATGAAAACGATGAGCTTGATGCAATTTTTCTTCAAATAACCTTAACGTTTAGAATCAAACAAGAGCAAGTTAAGTCTTCTTTCTTTGGCCTAATTGTCGACTAGAAGATCTAACTTGTATGAATTTTCTATTGGTTTGATATCAATAATGGCAATTGTTTCATTATATTAAAGATACAAGAGACACATAAGAACAAAGGAGAATAAGGGCTAACCGTGACTTCGATAGGTACACGTGTGTCAATGCGATGTTGGTAATAAAGATCAATGCAATCAATATCAAGCCGCTTCAAGCTGGCCTCGCAGGCAGCTCGTACATAGGCAGGGTCTCCTTGTACACAGAACTGGTTATCCTGTAATATAATCCCAAATTTCGTAGCCAACTCCACTTTCTCCCTTACCCCATCCTTCAAAGCCTATTCAATATGATAGCAAACAGTACATAAACATTAAACATTGACTATTACACACTGGCGACTATAAGAAGTGCAGAGCAATAAATAAACAATACAGAGTAAGGTCCAAGAATAGTCTCCAGGAAGTACATAAAAGACCTACCTTCACCATCAAAATGAAAATTATAATTTTTTAAATCAATGTCATATTGCTTCCATTAGAGCTCCATGCTACAGTATCATAAAAACCTTGTTGCGGCATTTAGTCGAACATATAAAAGCGCCATGCACAAATTTGCAGTCAGGAAAGAGGGGAACAGATAGTACCTTCCCGAGGAGGATTTCATTGGTGTGCGGTCCATAGACATCGGAAGTGTCGAGGAAGGTGATGCCGGAGTTAATGGCATGGTGAATGAGCTCGATCATGTCGGGTTCTGGCTTGGGCGGGCCGTAGAATGACGACATGCCCATGCACCCGAGTCCTTGCGCAGACACCTCTAGTCCTTGTGTACCAAGCTTGATTCTTGGCACTTTTACACTGCTTTCTGCTGCCATTATACTGGAATCTGAAGGGTTTTTTCAGGTGGAGGAAGATTTGGAATTCCAGGTAAAATGATAGTTATTCCTCTTAATTTATAAAGAAAACTGCCATTGATGGCCACTAATCCACGGGGAGAATTTTTTATCTCCACCACCTATCTAAAGGGACCATGTCTCAAAGAAATGTAGATTGGTCCATAATTCCGGAGGATTGACGTAAGTGACTACGTGAGAAAGAGGGAAAAAAGGACTAAAGTTGAAATCTGTGGTAGTGTTGAAAAGGGATTTACACATTTCTATCGGGATTCTCTCCGCTTGTCACTTCATGGAAGAGGAAAGTTCAATTAGACATTTATTATATGGAAGTTTATTGTATGGATTGCTTCCCGTCAAAGTGAGTTAACAATTTGGTGTCCTATATAGTCAACATTTGACTCTTCCCCTTAATTTTTCAAATGCACATTTCATTCATTATGTATATCAAATCTATAGTAAAAGTCTATATTCATTTAAACTAAAATGAGCTTAATCTGTTCCACAACTAGACTACTTACTCCCTTTGATAACTTAGCATGTAAGATATAGAAATTGTGGTTGAGTAGATGCTCTCGTCGCCATCTTGGTTTGGCAAGTCTCGTCTTCGTATTCAGTCGATTAAATATTATTATCTTTGAAACATATGTAGTCGAGTGGTCCGTTTATGTTAGTTGTTTATGATGATAATATCATGTAGATCTAGAAGAACAAATACAAATTTACTTTGTCTAATGCTCGAATTCGACAATTCATTAGGCATGATCAATGATCAAAAAATGTTTCATCAAACTAGGACTCAATGAACAAGAATGAATACCTTTGATCGATTATCTTCTTTTTGACTTTTTGAAGTAGCGTTCATTTAGCTTTTCCGATTACACGTAATTAAATATAAATGAATAAAAAATTAAGATTTGTAGAATCATATTCTTTTTCATCGTTCTTTTTTCTTTTCTATTTCATTATTTTGATTTTTTTATGAAATAGTAAACTATATCCATTTTCCTGATGGATGGAATTTTTTTTATTTCACTATCATAATCGTGATTAAAATCTTCTCTATAATCTTTTGGCATTTTGAGATAGATATGAGAAAATAAATAGTTTAGTTAAAATTCGAGTGAATTGCCCAAATAGTTATTGAACCTTATGTCATGCTTCCAAAGGCTCACTAAACTTTAAAAATCACGCAACTAGTCACTAAACTTTGCCAATTGTAATATCAATAGTCACTCAGCTCACAGCCGATAACTAATTGGACGGAATGCTGATGTGTCCAATGATGTGGCTGCCACTCAGATGGTAAATGTCAAATGGACGAATTTGTTACACAATTGGCATTTTGAATAAGGAAAAAAGAAAAAGAAAAAAATTGGAAAGAAACTGAAATGAAGTCGGCGACAGTTCTATAAGCTACATCCAAATTTTTTTTTCTTTTGTTTGATGAAAAGCAGCAATTGAATCCTTATCCACAACCGTTTTCTCATGGATTTCATGATGGTTTGTCCAATTTGTAGGTTAAAGCTGTGGAGAAGCAACAATTGAAAGGGTCGATTTCTTGTGCGAATTTCAGGCGAAGCTGCTACTTCCATATGGCGGCGAAATTGGAGATGACCCATAGGTGCATTAGGTGCGCCTTGATGAGGCGGTCCTAGTGGAGGTGGTCCGCGATCGTGAATCATACTGCCGGCGTCGGAAATCGATTCTGGTGGTCCGAGTTCGTTGTTGACGAAATTGGCTGTGAATTTTTATTTTCTGTAGTATTTGATGGTATGAAGACATCTGTGGGTGCGTATTGAGGAGTTTGATCGATCTGGAGGTTGTGTAGGGCATGGGTGTCACCAGAAGTGAAGATTCCGACCACTTTTTGTTGCCCGGGCAGCCTATTTTGGCTTGGGTGGGTTACGAAGAGGAAAGTGAGGGCTTCAAGATGGTATGTTGGTTCGGCAGTCAAGGTGGCCGGAGGGTGGAGTTTTGGTGGTCCATAAGTGGTGGCGGAAGTGAAGATTCTGGCCACACAACCTATTTTGGCTTGAATTTCCGGCCAAATCGGTTGGTGTTATGGCCGGAGCTTGGGTGGGTTGCGAAGATAGAAGTGAGGGCTTCAAGGTGGTATGTTGGTCCAGTATCAAGGTGGTCGGAGGGTGGAGTTTTGGTAGTCCATAAGTGGTGGCTCTAAGGTGGTTTAGTGGTTGATTTTTGTTTTTTGGTTTTTTTATTTTTAATTTTTTTTAAATGTGTTCAAATGCCAACTGTGTAAGAATTCCGTCGAATTCCTTAACGGTGTGAGTTGAGTGACTACTGGTATTACGATTGGCAAAGTTCGATGACTAGTTGCGTGATTTTTAAAGTTTTTAGTTGAGAGACTACTGGTATTACGATTGGCAAAGTTCTGTGACTAGTTGCGTGATTTTTAAAGTTCAGTGACCCCTTGGAAGCATGACGTAAAGGTCAGCGACTATTTAAGCAATTCACTCGTTAAAATTCTATAAAGCAAAATAAGGAGAAATGAGTGTACATTAAAAGAGATTAGCTCCATAGCAAGAAAATCAATCCTTCAATATATGCGAGTTATACTAGGAGAATAATACCAAAGTAAAAAAAAATTTTTAAAACAAAATACTAAAGTTATATCACTTCAAAGCTCGTTGATAAATATTGTAATACGTAAAGAGGCACTTTACACCTTGGATAAAACATGACGCAAGACATATACGAGTTGGCATCCATCTCAAAGAGTTACGAGGGATCGAAGCCACTACTCTAAACTCGCAAAGCATAATAGTCGCACAATGTCAAGCACCGTTGATAAAAACACTTCAGACAAGATTCAAGAAAGGAAAGATAGCCTTGGAATTAAAAAAAAGGGAAAGTAATGATCGCACTTAAGCGGCTTGTCTCCCAACTTGCGTCTCCAGCACCCTCATGACAAATCATACCCTTTGACAACATAACTTAAGGTCGGCGATCATTCCTAGGTCATCATTACACCTCAGGGACCACCCTCCTCCACTAATTAGGGTGTTCCCATCGCCTGAAAATTACACATCTCAAGGAAAAGTATTGTAACTGTTGGAATCTAGTCAAAGTAAGATGAAAATTGATTAAGTATAAAATCATGAAAAAAGTGACTTTGTGTCAATTTTGGTCAAATATACAGACTTGATCTGATAGTTAAATTATGAAAATAAATAGACTAACTTGTTTTACTCGTCTAGTAGATGATCATAGTATATTTGAAATTTCAAAACCAATTCTAAATAAATGAGAAATTATAGTCCAGAGTTGGAAGGAAAAAAATCAAATTTCGGTATCTAAGATCACTGCTCGAGGGTAGCCCAGTGTCAGGCGAATGCCAAGGCTTTTGCTTTTGGTGCTTAAGCGGTTCGCGAGTGGCAAGCTAGCGATCGAAAGGATTTTGACCCTTGATGAAAAATGCTGAGTTTTGGGGAGTGTCTCTTTGACCACATCCTCTCACCTTCTATAAATTGGACCCCTTAGACACCATTAAGTCATCCCATATCATTTTCTTTGATCCATGCATCAAAAACTCTTGCAAAATCACTCCCAAAGTTGCATATAAAACCCTTATTTATAGAGAAAAAAATTTTGTTAGGTTCGCTTTGGCCTCATAGTTTGAAGTGCTTTTACTACAAGAAGTTCTTCATTATATCTTGAGAGATGATTGCCATACCTCTGTGAGGACCGTTGCGGGACAAATTCGTCTTACAGACAAAATGTCAAACACTTGCCTCAGATTTTATTTCCATTCTTTTCTTCTTCATTTTTTGTTTTGGTTTCTACAATTTCTTGTGTTGTTTTTATTTACTTACAAAACAACCTATACACTATATCCCCCCAACAATAACTTGAAGTGACTGAGACGATTTGGCGTAGGAGCTTCATATATGAAAGGGGTCATTTCCTCCCAAAGGAAGACTCGAAAATTGAGAGAGTTCAGAGATTTCGGATTACTTAGCTCATACCAATTATTTCTAATCTCATTGAATATTGTAAAAACCACATTTTACTCAATAAAATGTTGGGAATTGGTGCAAATTAAGTTGGACATTTTAACAGGAATCGAACATCCTGAATTAGAACTATAAGTTTGGGTCTGGTTCCAAAAAAATTAGCAAACGAGAATCAATCGAGTCCCTTACGTTACTTGGTTTTAAATCGAACCACGGATACTGGATTTTGGAATCGATTTTTTTTTGGGGAATGTATTAACTCTTACCCAATCACCCTGTCTAACAAGTAGCAAGTATTATAATCAATCAGATTCATTTACTTTTTAAACCACATCATTTTTGTTTGTTACCACTGCTGATTGACTTTACGTGTTGCCATCCCCCACAGTCCTTGTTGAGGTGCTGCACAAATAGCCACAAAAGGAATTTGATGTTATTTTACTAGATATACTTGATGCTATTTGGTTCCATGTTTACAATGAATTAAGAAAGTATATGTATTTGGTGGTATATTTTTTTCTTCTATTTCTACTTAGATATTGAGAAGATAATTTGTATTATTGGTTCACGATTTTGTTTGGATTTTGACTTAAAAACTGGAAATTGGGGAATTTCTTTCTTCTATTAAATGTTATGTTTACAATGTTAGACAATTAAGGGTGTGCTTGAGCCACATGATTTTGGAATAGTAGATTGATTGAGAATGTGTGGTTGAAAAAGAAGGAAAAATTATTGATGTGATGGAAAATATTATTTTATTGAAAAATGTATGGTTGAAAATGAGTAGAAAAATAATAATGAAAATTTTAATGTGACTCAAACGGTGGCTAAATCTCATCTTTGAAAGCCCACATTTGAAAGCAAATATAAGAACATTACTAAACATTCATATGTTAATACATCTGCACATGCAAAGAATTGAAAGGCAATAAAAATAAACAAGTAATACATGAAATCAATAGCCGGTCCTCTTCCATTAGGGGCGGATCCAGACCATTTGTCTTGTAGGGTTAAAAATAAGAATTCAAAAATATTTAGAACTACATATCATTAACGAAAATAAGTCAATAAGCTATTACAATTGTAGCCTACCGTTTTCATACCCTGAAAACGTCGTATAATTACATTGTTATCAATATTGTTAAGTACATCGTTTTCAATATATGCAACCAAACTATTACTTAACTATTGATCTTTCATCCGACTACGCAGTCGATTCTTGACAATCTTCATTGCAGAAAATACTTACAAACAATTCTATTTTAAATCACCAAGTTAGACAAACTGACAAAGTCATTACTTACTGAGACTGAGTTACTTTACTACTCCACTACAATATTTCCAATTTCTCAAATCCAAACTAGTGAACTATCAACTATCAAATTCCAAATACATTCTAGAAATTAGAAGAATCAGTAACTGATATGTACGAATTAGCTTCAATTCAATTGAAAATCCAATAGCTAAATTAATTGAAAAATGGATTGAAGACGAGAGGCGAATTCACCGTGCGTATGGGAAAATTAGGGATTTCAGATTTTTGAATGGGGGAATATCAAAGTCACTGCTTTATGAGTCATAGTATATTAGTTGGGTTAGGTCAATCAATGAATTATGGATTAATGGGTTGGTGTAGAGTGTAATTGGACTTGAGCTTGTGAGATGTGGATTAGGCTGCTCTTAGGTCAGTGGTAAGTGTTAGGTAAAAAAAAAAAAAAAACTCCAAAAATAAAATAAAATTGTGGGGTCATTTGACGCCACATGACCCCATGTGGGTCCATCCCTGTCTTCCATCATATTTAATATGATGACCTTATCCCTACTCTCCGAGGTTCAAGAATAGTGTCCTAGAAGTACTCATAAGGCGGTTAATATAGATGTTTTACCTTCGCAGCAAATAGAAATTATATTGACAGTATTTCCACGAATCAATGTAAAACAAACATACACACACACACGGATAAATGCCATAGCAACTCCATCTTGCCAACTGTAGGTACAACACTTGCGAAGAAAGTAAGACAAGTCTAATCTACAATCTGGATGACTGTAGTTTGAAAACCAAATCTCAATACAATTATAATAGATGGCCATTTACAAAGGCAAACAATTTCCAGTAATGGAAATTGCTTGCTCAGTACATGGTGTAATGCCATTTTTATTTCAATCTTCTTTCCATTCCGTAAGGTAATTTTAGGATACAGACAGTCTTCAAGTAGCTTTCCAAGTTGACGGAGGAGGAGTGTCTGAATGCTCCCACGTACTAAAACCAGGACCATATCTGTCACCCTTGATTCGAGTTCAGCCATGTCTTCTTTCGTCAGTTTTACAAACAATGCTTCGATGTTTTTATTGAGATTCTCGAATTTTGAGGTACCAGGTATGGGACACACATCTGTTCCTTGATGATGGATCCATGCTAAAGCTAGACGTGAAGGAATGCATCCCTTTCTAATTGCCATATCATTGAAACTCTGAATGAATTGAAGTATAAAGCAAACAAACCTTTCGAGGGTCCTCTTTAGATAAAGTTTCAACCAGTTTCAACCAATTTTGGACAAGGGACAAGAATCCCCATCCAAGAGGACTGTATGCTACTATTCCAATACCAAGTTCTCTTAACAATTGAACCAAGGATAGAGTTAGAAATTTATATACCTTACTGGCTCAAAATAGGAAAAATGATCACAACAATCAACTAACCTACAAGTAGGAATTATTTCTTTCTCCACATCTCTTGACCACAAAGACTACTCTAACTGCACTGGTGTTATTGGATGAACAGAATGTGCTCTTTTGATTGTTGAAGTCGAGGCTTCCGATAGGCCTGTATATTTTACCTTACCTTCTTCCACTAGTTTCTTTAATTCTTCGCTCTTGCATAAAGAGATATCCAAAGGAAGAAGAAGGGATAAGAAACACGAGGAATCAAATTAGAGCTAATACTCAGATTTACAATATGCAGATTATCAATTATCAAGAAGTACAAAAAAGATGAGCTTGATGCGATCTTTCATCAAATAGCCATAGCTTTTAGAAACAAATAAAAGCAAGTTAAGGCTTTTGTAACCGGAAAAGTAGAAGAGAATAAGGACACGAGGATTTATAGTGGTTCAATCAACTCAAAAGGTTAAGGAACAACTTTTTTTTCCTCGCTGAAATTGAATACTGAAGTTGGTCGAGAAATCAATTAAGGAAATTGAAGTTCTTTATTTGGCCTAATTGTTTGTATGAATTTTCTATTGGTTTGATATCAATAATAATGGCAATTTTTTCAGTAAGGATACATGAAATACATAAATATGAAGGAGGATAAGGGCTAACCGTGACTTAGATAGGTACATGTGTATCAATGCGATGTTGGTAATAAAGATCAATGCAATCAATATCAAGTCGCTTCAAGATGGCCTCACGGCAGCTCGTACGTAAGCAGGGTCTCCATGTACTAACATCTGGCTATCATGTAATGTAATCCCAAATTTCGTAGCCAACTCCACTTTCTCCCTCATCCCATCCTTCAAAGCCTTTCAATTTGATAGCACATTACATAAACATTAAAAATTAAAAATTGATTGTTACACACTAGCATCTATAAGAAATACAGAACAATAAATAAACAAACCAGACATTCCGGTTCATGTCAGAGGTCCTCGTACATAAATTGATTAAATCAACTTTATATTGCTTCCATAGGAGCTCAAGCAACAGTATCGTAAAATCCTCGTTGCAGCATTTAGTAGTACGTTCCCGAGGAGGATTTCATTGGTGTGCGGTCCATAGACGTCCGAAGCGTCGAGAAAGGTGATGCCTATTTAATGGCATGGTGAATGAGCTTGATCATTTCGGCTTTTGGCTTGGGTGTGCCGTAGAACAAGTGAATGTATTCAATTGAAACTTTTAATAATTTTTTTAGATAAGTTTAGGGTACTTAATGTAGACTCTTGAACACTCTCTAAAAATATTGGTGCATTCAATTGAAATTTTAAAAAGCATCTAAAAGTCATAGTGTATTTAATTAAAAGTTTTTAAAAGTTTATATAAATTTTGGGATATTCAAATTTTAATGACTTTTATAAAAGTTTTTATGGTACTAACTTTTAAGTAAAAAGTACTAAAATAAAATCTCAAGATTTGTCTCTCATCACAAAAATTTTTGAAGACTTTCTCAAAAAAAATAAAAATAAATTAATATGTATTTTTTTTTTTTATTTTCTCTTTCATTTTCTCTTTTACGAATGTTAGAGTTATGATTAAAATTTATTTTTTCTATTGATTATATTAGTTTCTATTTTTCTTATTCTCTCTTTTATTGTTTATTTCTATTTTCTATTAAAAAAAAATTAAATTGTATTCTTATAATTTTTTCATTAATTGTATTTATGTAGTGTTATTGTAAATATTAAAAAAATTAATTATGGTACGGAACTGAAAGGAACCGAACCGAACCGAACCGAACCGAATCGAAAGGAACCGAACCCGAACGGTTCCATAGTTATATTTGGATCCGACGGGTCCGTGTATTAAATATCCGAAAGTTTTGCGTCTGTTCGGGTCTCTTCAAAATCGAACCGAATCGACCCACGGACAGCCCTAGAATTACAAGTAAAAATGACGGGTATTCCTCTTGCAAAAAACTCCTGGCTAATTGATCCGTAGCATTTTTCATTTCATTCATATTTGGTTCAAACTCAAAAATTAGATTAAGTGGACGTATTCAATTGAGACTTTTAATAATTTTTTTAGATGAGTTTAGGGATACTTAATGTAGACTCTTGAACACTCTCTAAAAATATAGGTGTATTCATTTGAGATTTTTAAAAAGCATCTAAAAGTCATAGTGTATTTAATTAATAGTTTTTAAAAGTTTCTATAAATTTTGGGATATTCAAATTTTAATGACTTTTAGAGACTTTTATAAAAAATTTCATGGTACTAATTTTTAAGTAAAAAGTACTAAAATAAAATCTCAAAATTTGTCTCTCATCACAAAATTTTTGAAGACTTTCTTGAAAGAAATAAAAATAAATTAGTATGTATTTTTTTTTTCAATTTTTCTCTTTCATTTTCCCTTTTACGAATGTTAGAGTTATGATTAAAATTTATTTTTTCTATTGATTATATTAGTTTCTATTTTTCTTTTTCTCTCTTTTATTGTTTATTTCTATTTTCTATAAAAAAAAAATTAAATTGTATTCTTATAATTTTTTTATTTTTTCATACATTTTTTTTGTAAAAAATATCTATTCTTAATTAAATTATAAAAGTTTATATAGACTAATTTATAATTAAATTTAAATATATATTTTTTATTTTTTCTCTAAAGGTATATCATATTGATAATACTGAATATTAAATTAATTTTTTTATATATAATAATTATTATTTATTTAATTAAGATCTTAAATTTTGATTCTTTTTAAAATATTTTTTTTATTATATGGGGTGGGAAAGGGAATGGGAAAGGAGGAGGGGAATTGTTAGAACCACTCTATCATATGTGATAATTTCATAATATTGCATTGAATCTGTATGAATTCTATTTCAAATGAAAGTTTTCAAAAGTCTTTTTAATTTTACAGAAGTTTATAAAAGTTTTAATATGAAAGTTTATAGAAGTCTACAAAGGACTTCCACTAAATTCCATATTAATCTCTAAAAAATCCACGAAATCCCCAAAAGCCATCACTTAAATAAAAATTCATCAAAGTTTTCAAAAGTCTCAATACACCTCCCTAAAATTTTAATAGACAATTGATTCAACTAAAAAATTAGATTAAAATTTATCTTAAAGTCAATAATTAATTTTAGAATAATATTATGTAGCCCCACCGAGGTTACAACTCCAATCTATATGGTTTTGATGTGACATTAAATGATAAGTAAAATTAAATTTCACTTTTCATTTACCCATCATCTAGCGCCACATAGACTAGAGTTGCAATTCCAGTGAGATTGAATAGTATTACTCTTAATTTTAACTATATGTTTTATAGAATTCAGAAATTTTCAATCACATATTTATTAATTTTTATCAAAATTTATTAAAATTGATTTAATTATCAAAATACTAATTAACTGTTTGATAGTCATTATTTTGAGAAAATGAAATTTTGAATAGTGATTTTTTTGAAGAACTTGTAGTTAAAAAAAATGAAAATTTTGGATTTACGTGCAAAATTTTTTCCTATTTTTTAATCACATATTTTCCAAAAAATCACTATTCAAAACTTCTCTTTTACAAAATAATGGCCGTCAAACATAGGTTAAGTAAGTTATGTTTGACAAATTTGATCGTTCCAGATCGAGCAATTAGTGAAGAAGACTTTTCTTTTAGATTTTTAGGACAAATCAAAATATTTGATTAATAAAATCGCCAGCTTAGAGGTGATGTTTGACTATAGGTGAAGGTGAATTGGAATGCGTGGGATGTGAGGGTGAAGTAAGTTGGAGAAGATGATTTTTTTTATGTATTAATATGTATTTAGGGGTTGTTTGAGTTCCTTTTTTTTTTCAAAAATTGTATTTTGCAATAGTGTTATGAAGGAGAATGAGCGACTAAAAAATAAGAAAAAATTTTGGATTTGCGTGTAATATTATTTTATTGAAAAATATGTCGTTAAAATGATATCAAATCATTGTTCAAAATTATATTTTGATGGAAAAAATGGGACTCGAACTTTATTTTTTGTGGGAATTAAAATCAGTTTTTAAATAGAATTTGATAGAAGTTAATGAAATGTAGTGTTGAAATGTTATGAGACCCGTGAAACATGTGGTTGAAATAAATTGTTGACTTTGATTTAAATTAAAATCTTGATTTTAATTGGTACCAAACAATGGCTAATTATACTTTTTGAAAAGAAATGGAACTCCATTTGCAATTCTTGCTTATTTTTTGTTGTTTTACTATTTTCCTTTTTTTGTTTATTTAAAGAAAATAAGAAACTAATCAATATATTACCAAAATGGAGAAAATAATGAGCGTTGCTACATAATTTAAAGGTTTGAGATGGAGTACGCTAAAAAATAGATTGGGGGATAGATTTTTTACATTTTGCAAGAATTAAGGATGAAAAATGCAAATTTCTCATAACGAGAAAAATGAATTGTTTAATTAATTCTATAAAACAAAATATAGAAACGAAGAGTATATATTAAACGATATTACGCTCCACCAATCCTTCAATACATGTGAGTTATAATAGGTGAATACTACTAAAGTCAAATAGATTTTACAAACAAATTACTAAGCCTTTGTTTGAGTCACATTTTTCACAAAAAAAAATGAATTTTGTAATTATGATTTTTTAGAGAATGTTGGTTAAATAGTAAGAAAAATTTTGAGTTTATATACAATATCTTTATTGATCGAATGTTTGATTAAAAATGAGTTTGATAAAAAATAAATAAATTTTTGGATAATGGAACTTAAACAGGAGCTTAAGTTAAATCAATTAAAAGG